ATCACGGTTCAATATTTCAAAACATCTATTATTAATTGCTATATCGATATAATCTCCACTATTGAAAAATATAAAGTTTTGAATCAATTCAATATATAAACAAACGCGTTAACTTAATACCAACTCACTTATGTTATTAAAATCGATAGTGTGAAAAATTCAAATAAAAAATAAAATAAGATGTTTATTAAAAAAAATAGATTATAACTCATTTCAATTAATTTAAATTGATTAACCTCAATTGTTGACAAGAACTTATTAAAATTATTGATTATTTTATCATAAGATAATTATTTAAAAGTAGGGCAAATGGCAAAAAGGCCCATCACATGGGACTTAAATGCATTTTAGTCCACAAAAAAAACAGTCTCTCAATTAAGCCCATCCCCATGTCTTTAGTCTAAAATACCCTCAATAAAATAATTCTTAACAATTCCACCCATTATGCTATAACTTCCTTAATATTACACATTGACCCCGGATTTAAACAAATATATCACATTAACCCCCAAAACTTTTTTTTTTTCAGAAAATAATTTTTTTTCTGAAATGTTTTTTTTCCGGCCAGATTCCGGCCAGATTCCGGCGTTGACTTTTTTTTTTTTTTTTTTTTTGAATTTTTTTTTCTTGAATTTTTTTTCCGGCCGGTCAACCACCCGTTGACCGCCGGTCTCCGGCGTTGACTTTTTTTTTTTTTTTTTTTTTTTTGAATTGTTTTTTCTTAGAAAAAAATTATTTTAATTAATATTACTGTCTTAACTACTAAATTACTGTCTCAGACAGTAATATTACTGTTTGGGACAGTAATATTATGAATATTATTTTTCCGAACAGTAATATTATTAATATTATTGTCTAAGACAGTTAAATTACTGTTGGAGACAGTAATTTAACATCCAAGACAGTAATATTAATTAAAATAAATTTTTTTGTAAGGAAAAAAATTAAAAAAAAAAAAAAGGTCAATTAACAGTTAAATTACTGTCTCCGACAGTTAAATAACTGCTGGAGACAGTAATTTAGCAACAAATACAGTAATATTAATTAAAAATATTTTTTTTAAGAATAAAAAAGTCAATTAACAGTTAAATTACTGTCTCCGACAGTTAAATAACTGCTGGAGACAGTAATTTAGCAACAAATACAGTAATATTAATTAAAAATATTTTTTTTAAGAATAAAAAAGTCAATTAACAGTTAAATTACTGTCTCCGACAGTTAAATAACTGCTGGAGACAGTAATTTAGCAACGAATACAGTAATATTAATTAAAAATATTTTTTTTAAGAATAAAAAAAGTCAATTAACAGTTAAATTACTGTCTCCGACAGTTAAATAACTGCTGGAGACAGTAATTTAGCAACTAATACAGTAATATTAATTAAAATATTTTGAAGAAAAAAAAAAAAAAAAACAGTCAATTAACAGTTAAATTACTGTCTCCGACAGTAAATAG